ATAATAATGACAATGGTTGTTATAACAGTATAATAATGTATATTACAAATAGTTGTGGTGGTGACGATGATTGCAAAACAATGTATGTTACAAGTGATGGTGGGGTGGTAGCAACGAGAAGATTGAGTGCAAATGTGACACAATTTTTTTAGAATCAGTGATGACATCGGTATTGGCGAAAGGAACATGTGTAATAATTAACAATGTGTTACGAAATCTATGTAAAAAATTAAATAAAAAATAAAACCAATATTTTGAGTGGGGGTAAAAGGGATTTTAAAGAAAGTTTGGAATTAAGTAAATTTTTGTAATGTATTTATGAAAGAATTGTATCCTATAAATTATGCAGAAAATTCAAAAAATAAAATCTGGACTCAAAAGTCATTTTAAAATAAACAAGGTTTATTATGCGTGATTGAATCAATCCTATTGCTGTAGATTGTGACTCGACTCAAGTTTGAAGATTTAAAATAATTTTAAGGAACATTTGAGTTCTAACTTGAATATGCTTTTCAGGAAGTAAGCTTTTTTTTTAATTTTTTTTATCGACTTGCAATTAAGTTACGTGATATTTGTTCTGATGCCTTAAAATGGAACCTTAAGGAAATATTCGAAGAAACCAGAAAAATTATGTACAATTTGATTTTTACTTTAAAGAAAATATTTAACAATGGTTAGGGTTATTACTAAGGGAAAAATTTTAAATTAAGAGTTTAAGTTTTACCCATTTCAAATTTAAGACATTAATTTTAAAATTTCAATTTTTTTTAAATTATTTATAAATAAATAAATAAAACACATGTTTTATTAATTAAATATATTAATGTTACAATTCCATATAATTTGGTCACATATTATTAATTTGTTACAAATCACAATTTTTGTATGTCGTAAATTATTTTACGGCCACAATTCAAAAATTTTATAAGTCACAATATGTTTATCGATCACAAATCAAAAATTTATATGTCACAATTTATTCATCGGTCACGAATCTATCAAATCACATATGATTTATTGGTCACAACTCACAAATTTTATNNNNATTGGTCACAACTCACAAATTTTATATGTCACAAATTATTTTTCGGTTACAATTCAAAAATTTCATAGGTCACAAATCAAAAATTTATACGTCACAATTTATTTATCGGTCACAAAGTGTTTATAAGTTACAATTCATTTATCGGTCACAAATCATAAAATTTTATCCGTTACAACTTATTTAAGGGTCACAAATTGTCAAATTAATTGATCACACGTTATTTTGCAGTCACAATCACATTTTTTAAGTCACATATTATATATTTGTCACAAATTACTCAATTGTTTGGTCACAATTAACCAATTTATTGATTCACAAACACTATTGGTCCCACTCGACTATCGCCGCCACCCACACCACGATGTCGCTGTCGCCGCCGCCACTACCACCACCATTGCCATAACTATTTGCAACCACCACCTCACCACTACCAACAATGCCAGATCCACTACCACACCAGTGCAAAGTCCGCTTGCCTCTGCGAACGTCACACCACCACCAACACCACCATCGCCACCACCAACAACGCTCAACTTCAAAACCACCATTTTCAACTACAAAACAACCACCAGTGTTAACGCCACCACCATCACCCGCACCGCCAACATCATCGTACCATCAATGTCACGACCAGCAAAAGCAGTACCACTACCTCTTGTTCAAAAAATCGTAACCACCATCTCCATTACACCACATCCACCAATAAATCCCAAATCTGCTTCTCTGTCGCCGCCACTGCAAGCAGCGATGCTGCAAGCACGCAGAGGCCATCACATTGCTGCGCCCAGTGGTGTCGTCGATCTGCTCCTCTGCTGCAAGTACGCAGAGGCCTCCGGCGATTGCACAGTACCTTCGCAAGAGGAGCAGATCGGCAGAGCCGCGGCGGGTAGAGAGGGAAGATGCCGACTATTGTGAGAAAAAGAGAGAGAGAGAGAGAGAGAGAACTGCGCCGCGAGGTAGAGACAGAAGGATGCCGACTGTCGTAACTACGCTGCGACTGGTAGAGAGATGGACGCCGACTACCAACTGTTGACTGCCATGAGAGAGAGAGAGAGAGAGAGAGAGAGAGGGGGAATTAATTAGGGTTTGCAATGAATTTTTGTGGTATTAATAATATCAAAAAATTTCTTTATTTTTTAATCACACATTTTCCATCATATCACTATTTCAAAATACA